ACACACACACACACACACACCACAAGCGCGAGCCGCACGTAGGCCCTAGCCCCGATTTGCCTTTAAGCCTTGAAAACTCGATTATTGTGTTTCTCCGTTTCATCATCGGCATTACATCCTGTCACGACCTCCTCAAAGCCCCGCCCCCGGCCCCCCTGGCTCGCGTGGACCTGCGATGTGCGTTGGTATAGAAAAACAATAGAGGGGTGCTCCGGCCCCCGGGCTCCCGACCCGTCACACGAAAAATTGCTTTTGTCTCTAAAATTTGCGTCGTTAAAGTGTGTGGCGGGGGCGCGCGCGTGCCAGCAAACTCGACCCGGGATGTGGTTCTGGCGGATGGTGACGTTGTGCCGCATGGCGAGATGTACCTCTCGAGGAGTCAGGAGGGCACGTCTCTAAGCAGCAGTCAGGAGAACCTCCTGATTTGTGACTAATAATTATACATTTTTGCAAGTTTTGTAACTTACTGACGAAAGAAAACTTTGTCAGTAATGTAAAAGTGAAAACGTTCTCATTAGCTTACTAAGGTTTTTAAGCAGCAGGAATACTGACAAAGGGGTCGAAAATCAGTAAACGTAATTAGCAGTGAAGGCAGTGTGCCATCCTGCTCGTCTACGCGAGGTGGTGCGGACCTGTCGCGGCCTGATGACCCGCAGGCGCTCTGTCAAGGCGACCTGCAGCACCTGCAGCCGCGTGCAGCACGCTGTGCCCCGCCTCTTCTTCTTCTGCCAGCGCTGCTGCCCCGCTGCTCGGCAAACACAATTAAAATGTAATAATGTTTGTTGGTCGCTCTGGCGGACCTGCCGGGCCCCGCCCCGCCCCGCCTCGGTCTGTGGACAACATATAAAACAAATTACACCGTGTCGTAAATTTGGTTCACCATCGTGGGCGCTCGGACGCCCAGTCCGGCCCATGCATCCGTGTGTGCGTGTGTGTTTATGTGTGTGCTGGGGGAGGCTTGCGCGCTGGTCGGTCCGCAATGTGTCATGTTTTGTTGTCAAGGATTTCACTCTTTGTGCTGCTCTCCCTCTCTTTCGTCACTGGCGCCGCTAACGTGTGATGATTGAGTTCCCAAAACGTTGATGATGAACGTGTTGTTGTTGTTTTTGCTTTACTTTGTCGGTGTGCCAGGCCATCTCGCATTATTTGTCGCTGGACAGGGGCTCCATTACTGCCTGATGCCCGAGCCCCACCCACGGCTGCGCTCGCGACGCGACTTGGTTTCCGTATTCATGGTGCCCCCCCCCCCCCTCGACCTATCCTCCCTACCGGGCCCTCTACCCGTTCGAGGGAGAGAGCAGGGCAGCGGGTGGTGGTGGTTGGAGGTGCAGAAAATGGCGTGACGCGAAAACGTTTGGTGAAAAATGATGCGATCGAGCAGCTGCGGAGATGCACGCCTACTCGCCCGGCTGGGCTGGTGCCGTGCCCCTGCTGGACGAGTCCCTGCCGTTACCCTGCTGGCCGTGCGCCCGCTGTTCGTGCCCTTCGCGTCGACCTGCGCTGTACCAGTATACGCACTTCTCGGAAGGCCTCCGGTCTCGGGCCCGACCGCCGCCTCTGCGCCGAGCTGCGCCCACATATTTATTCCCTTACGGACGGTGCTGCCCGGTCCGCCCGCTGCCCTACCTTTGGACCCTTTGCCTCTGACCCGCTCGCTCGCCTGAGCCCCCCACCCCTAAAGCCGCGCCGCTTCTTTACAACCCCCAACTCTCCGCCACCCCCTCTCCCTCCCTCCCTCACAGCACACGCACGTACACGTACGTCTGCCTGGGGCGAGAAGTCATGCATGGGAAAGGCGAAGACAAGATCGATAGGGCATCTGTTTTGCGGATGCTTTTTCGCCGGGCTCGCGGCGCGCATGCCGAAGCACGCCTACCGGATCCCCCTCCTCGGCCTGGCTCGGCCCGCTTCTCGCTTTTCTATAATGCGTCGTGTGTTTGTGTTTGGAAGGCAAAGGGGGCTCAAGCCGCTTCCTTCCGGAGCCCCGCGAGCCGTGCCGCGCCGAGCCTCGGAGCGAGTCCCGTTTTATTTTATTTTGCTGTATATTCCTATCATTACCGCGCTTGCAGCCCCCCCCCCCTTTCCCGTTTCCTCTTATTTCGTTTGAGTTTCCCGCGATTGTCTCCGTGCGCCCCTTCGGCCCGCCCCGAGTGGACAGCAGCGCTTCGCCTGGCTCTCTGCCTGCCGTCCGCCTTGCTGGGTCGCCGTCGCCGCGTCGAGTGGCCGGACTGCCATCTTCAAGTTTTCCTCCGTGAATGAAGAACAGCTGGGTGGCTCTCATTCCGCCCAGCCTCGCCTCGCAGCCCCAACGGCTCAAGTCCAGTCGGCGCGAGCAGTGAGTGGTGGTTAGCTCCGCCCGAAAGTTTCTCATTCTTCCCTCTGCTTCTCGATGATCAGTCCACTCCAACCCAGCTGACTCCGCCCCGCCCCGTACCCTCTTGCGCCGCGTTCCGCCACTTACGATGCACTCGGGTCTTACCTCACTCAACCTTAGCTTGCAGAGGCGAAGGTTGACGGGGTACTGCCAGGTCGACGTTAAATTTTTAACCTCAGAAAGTCAACTCTTTTGCTTTTGTTGTGCGTGCCGGACGCTACTCTTCTTCGCGTTCCGATCCCTGGGGCCGTATAGCCCTCCCCGCCGGCCGGCCGCGGATGCACAGCACAACAGCGTGGCGCCGCGTAGCACAGCGTAGCATGACAGTGTTTGCTTCCTCTATCAGATGTTGTACCTGGCTCGCGCTCATTATACGCCAGGAAGCACCCGGCCGTATATCAGGCTCCCCCTCCCCGTCCACTCTTTCCTCCCCCCGGGCACCCCAACCCCAGCACCCCCTCCCACTCGCCCCGAATTGAAGGGTCGTTGGGGGGCTGGACAGGCGGGGCGCCAAGGGAGCGTTCACAAACCGCAAGCAGCGGAGGCTTTTGGGGATCGGGTTACTGCCTCTTTTTTTGTAGCGTCGTTTTGTACCCCTTTTTTTCTGTCATTTATTTTTCTCTTTGCTCTTTTTCCGTGTGTTACTGGGCCCAACTTATACAAGCCTCACACATGCACACTCGCAATAATTAGTATTTCGTTTTATTGGAAAAAGTTCTGATCTAAAAAATAATCTAGGTACTTTCACATAAAGTTTTTGGAAATCGCAGTTTTTCGGCTTCTTAAAAATGCTAAAATTTGGCCTCTGAAATAACTGTGGCCTTTAAAAATTTCAAAAACTTGCAGTTTTGGAAAGATTTCTAAAATTTGGAATAAGAAGAGGTGAACACGGTGTTCAGATTGATTAGTATATATTGCAGGCAAGATTTCGCACCTGTAAACACCCTCACCTTACAGCTTGATGCATTGAAGACATTTCCAGTGTGCCAATAGGGATACTTTTATCTATTATCTCCCCTGTTAGACGTTTTAATTCGATATTGGTCTAGTGAAACAACTTCAAACCACCTTAGCAAAGATAGAACCGAGGCATATCGGCATTTGTACGAGGGGAGGGGTTCAACAAACAGAAGAAACCGGAAGCTGCTACGCCGTGGGAATCTTCGTGTTCCCATTTTGCGAGTGACAATAAGATGACCTTGCAGGAAAAGACGTCCTGGCGATGTCTGGCCGGTACGCGGTGTGCGCCACAGTGTGGCGAGGTGGCCTGTGCATATCTGAACACGAGCCAACAGATAACGGGTGGGCATTTAGCCCGGGCGTGCCGGGCGCCGCAACCGAGACACGGGACACTTCTAAATGCAAGAGAAGGATATTAGTGTTTGGTTGTGAAACAGCTAGCTACTTTAATCTTCAGCAACAGACTATACGTTTGTTTCTAAACGTTTTTGCAGTTAAACCTTTTCGTTTCAGAAAAAATTGTGAAATTTGTGCGCAAAAATACATTATCTCGTACACATAAATGCACAATAGTAATGTGTAGAGTAAATAGAAATGAAATTAATAAGTATGAAATTCTAAATATGCCACATGTAAAAAAAATCGTTGCATTATGTATATATTCTTGTCAGCGTTAAAGAATCTTCGAGCTTTGTATTGCAAAGAATTAGTTATTTTTCGTTCTCTAGAGGATAGTTCCCGGGGATCATTCATGGGTGCGATAGATGCACCCATGTACCTCTTACTACATCACCGGTAGGATACATGGATCGCGCCATTGTTGAAACCACTTGAAGGACCGTTACTGGTGGGGGGTAGGCTACAACTGCTACAACAGTCTTGCGATGGATGTAACTCCCCCTCCCCTCCCCCTGGTGCCTGCTTAGAAATGTACCCCCCTTATGATTGTATGCTGAGGGGGGTACATTTATGGCATCATGAATATACTCCCCACTAGAGACGGTACATTTAAATCGTAGGGGGTACACCCATGGCGCTGCTCTGGCGTGCCTGGCACTCCCGTCTTGATTTACTGCTGAAGATACATAACTTCGTCTCCTCGTTCTCATTTGTTGCTGAAACCTTCGCCCCCCCCCCCCCCCCCGACCCCCCATTCCTTCCCTCCAAACCTCGCAAGTTCGGAGCGCGCAGAGTGAGTGCTCCAGGTCAATAAGGTAAACGTGTGTGTGCGTGGGCTCCGGTCAGGCCCGGCCCCGGCGGGACAGCTGCACTTAGGAAGCAGAATGAGTCGATCAACATACTACAGATTTACACGAATGTTCATTTCTCGTCTTTTACTTGGCTTGTGCAGATTTTTTTATTTTACTTACAAGAAACAATGTGTAAACATTGATCTTAGCTTAGAATGAAAATAAACTCCAATCAATTTGATGTTTTGTCATATTGATCCAAGGATATAGGTCATATAACTGATTTGAAAATAATAGCTTATAAAATTGGATAAGAATTTAACAGCACAACCAAGATTATCTGCGCCATGGATGAAAGGTTCACACTACAGATAAAATCCTTGCAATACGAACAATATCAAGTGATTTGTCCATGGTATGCATGCACAAAATTTTTCGTGAGCGTGTTCGGAAAGAAATGGGACTATGTGGGAAGTATATGTATTCCAAGTAGAAGTTGAGAAGGAATGGTGAAACGGAGAAAGAGAGAAATAGAGAGGCAGAGAAACGGGGAGAATGTGTGTGAGTGTGGCGTGTGCAGGGAAGCAGGGGAGTGTCTGCTGCTCCAGGCGGACAAGCTGATTGTAACCCTGAGATCGCCAAACGAGGGTAGAGATAATCTGATAATAGGCGCCCCTCCCTCTCTGCCCTCCCCCGCCCCCGCCCTGCCCACATGCAGTCGTGGTCGGGCCCGGCCAGGCCCCTGCGTCAGCGACAACTTGTAATGGAGAGCGCGATTTGTTGCACCGATCCCCGTGGGGTTGCCCCCTCCTTCACACACACACACACACACACACACATACACTTAAAAACACACACACACACACACACACCAATAAGGTCCACCCCGCTGCAGTCCCCGGGCCGAGATAAGACCGCCGATTAAAATGTTAAAGAGCCCGGGTGGGGTGGGCGGGTATGGCTTGTAACTCACCGCCTAAAAACCGGTAGTGGCCGCGCGCGTCGCGAGATATACGGTGGATAGGCCGGTCGGCCCGGCCACGGTCTACGGGCTGCAGGCCGCGCGGCCGAAGGGGATTATGACTTGAGGAACGACACGGTAATAATGCAAGTTTGCGAAAAAGTATATAAAGCCGTCTGTCCTGGCGCCTCCCGCGGAACGGCCGCGATCAGCTCGCCGATAACAAATGAACGGATCGCCCCCTCCCCCTCGCCCCAGTCTGTTTAAACTTACGGCAGCCAGCCACGCACGCCGGTGCAGCCGGGCGGGCCTTTCGGAATTATTTCCCGTCGGAGGAGAGAAAAGAAGTGGAGGGGAGGCAGATAACCCCGTCCTGATCACTTAATTCCACGGCACGGCGGCGTGGCTCGCGACACACGTGCCTACCCGCACACGCTTCGGTAATACAAGAGTGAGTCGCCGGCAGCAGGTGCGCAGTCGGAGCCACGCGTGCGGCTGTTGGGCACGCTACTGCGTCACAAGGCGCGTGTGGGGGCGTGCGCAGAAAAAGTGGCCGGCATTGACAAGCTTCCTTCTATGACATGTTGTTTTACGAAAATGCGTTTTCCATGGATTCTCTTTCCTCTTCGATGCTGCCACCCCAACCACCGACCTAAAAATTTCACTCGCTTCAACCCTGCACTTTCGCTGCCACAGACACGCTTAAAACAGTCGCGACGACTTTAGACGACGGTTCAGAAGATAGATTCCGATTGTTCGTAAACCTATTTTCTATGGACAGGACAATTGTAGTCTTATCGATATTAAAAGAAATCATGCCGATTAACGCCGAATGCCCGTTTCCAGAACCGAGACTACCTAAATACATTGTTAGAATGCTGTAAGGAAGTACGGTACCATAAATAGTCCGAAAAGACGGTTTGCGAAGTTACATTACATCCTGTTCGGAGTGGACCGTAATCCAAAATTACAGTCGCTGACCTGATGACAAGTTCATAGAGCGCACCGTAGAAATTTCCTGTTGGCATTTCTAACAGTGTATGCGGTAAATAATGTCTTAGTATTGTACTGAAGGATATGCCAGAAAAAAATCGATTTCCCGGTACTGCTAAATCATAGGATTTCCAATCGCGATAAACGACATTCTCGCGAGACGGTTATATACTCCAGCTTATAATTAAATTACAAAAATAGTTTTATGATGGTAATGCACTATCAAACGACATCAGCAATAACCCACTTTTCTACAGCCGTTCGGCAACATTTCTGGCCCAAATGCACAATTTGCGCGTTGTGGTCGTTGTTGAGCGCCCGATTTATCCAGAGTCTTCTCGAGTCTTGTAGCACGCCGTTTATTCAAGTAACATTTATTTTCCTTCGGATGCTTCGCTGCTGCTGAACTGTGCGTAGGTGTCGGGATCGCGATTAGGCATTCGGCTGTTGTACTGAACCCGTTTGTTACCGAGGAGTATTCGCTAGTGAGATTGATGCCGGCACAGCGCCGCTTTGGTCGAGTAGAGACTGACTGGGCCGCGCTCCTTTGCTCCCGTCCCTTCGCCACTTCAGTCCCCCCCCCCCTCTCCCTTTTCCCTTGCAGCCCGAGGCACAGCTTGATCGAGCTCTGTTGTCATTGTTCGCCTGCTGTGTTTCGCTTGAGTGCCTCGCCTCGCGAGGCGAGGGGGGAAAGGTAATGAGAAATATTTGCGACCCAGAATACCCCAATGGTGCGGAGCCGAAGTGGCTGCGCTGCTCTTACTGACTCGCAACGCAATTGTCGTTATTGGAAGATACATCAGGCCATTTAAAAAAGGTAGATGTGCGCCAGCCAACGTCTCGCGTAACAGGCTTCGTGATGTCTCGCGACACGCTGTGGCGCTGTGACACACCTGCGCACTACCTTGGATATTGATCTAGGCTAGTTTTTTTAGACTAGTTAGGAAAACTATGTGTTTTGGTGTCTCTAGGGTTCCGCTGTTTCTAAATCCCCAACAAGGCGATATTCCGACACAAAATGTGTGTTTTAATTCTTTGATTTTTTAATCCTCTTTTTATATCTTCTTTCGTCAACTGGGAGTTGGGCTTCACAATGGCTCAGACAAGAAATATGTAGTATCTCCAAATAAAGCTAGTTTTTTTAAAAATCTTTGTTCCGATGGCCATCTAATGTCGCCTTACACTTGTGTCTTCAGTAAGAATCCACATACGCTCTGAAAAATAGCTTACTTTCTCACACGCCCGAGCACCGTTCTGCTGCCTCCACCCTCCCCACGCATGCACTACTGGCTGCGATCGGCATCGGTCAAGGTCGACAGACAATCTCTCACCCGGGCGGCCCAGTCGGTCGGCTGCTGCAGGCTGAATTCAATCATCTTCTTGAGGCGAGGCTGGCTGGGATGGCTGGGCCTTCCAATCGAGTGAGAGCTACCAGTGTGCCCCTCGAGACTGGCCCCCGCGCCGCGAGGGTCGCCGTCTGGCCCTGGCTCCGCCCCGCACGCTCCGCACTCTCAAGGCTGTCGAGGTTCCCCAGTTGTTTTGACGGGCGGCGTGCTGCCCCCGTGCTCGCTGCACTCTCTAAACCGACCTCTCCTTCTTGTCCTGCAGGGCCAGCCGCTCAACCACAACGCCTCGGCGCGCATCCTGCGCTCCAACCAGTCGCTGGTGCTGCAGCGGGTCACGCGCCAGTCGGCCGGCACGTACACCTGCGTGGCCATCAACCCCGAGGGCGAGTCCACCAGCAACCAGCTCGACTTCCGGGTCAAGTGTGAGTATGGCGCTAAACAGCCCGGCCGATACGGGGCGCCGCCGAGCCCCCTGAGCAGCCCGGCGAAAGAAAGTCATTAAAACTCGCCGTCTGGCGGGCGAGAAGGGGGCGGGGGGCATGTATAAAGTTAGCCGGATTGTGACGGGCGATGCGACGCGAGCAGCGCATGCCCGGGCGGCAGGACAGGGGGCCCGCCCGCCCCGCCCCACCCGGACGCGTCCGGAAGGCCCTCGTTAAAAGCGATCTTCGGAGGAGGCGCCGAGCAGGTTTCGAACGTGGCTCCGCCGTCGTCGGGCCCTTTGTTGTGGCGGGGGGTGGGCTGGGGTTCTCTGTTTGAAGGGGATGGGGGCTCCGCGCGTGTGTTGGTGAGTGGGCCATAGAACGCAGACAGGGGGAGGCACTCGAGCCTGCTGTCAATTGTCACACATAGATCGGCCCCGTCTTTTGTTCTCACAGGTACTTGACGGGAAGGCGACGGGCAAAAGAAAAGAGAGTCCCCGGGACTGGGAAGGGAAGAGAGGGGGGGGGGCGTTCTGGCGCGGGTGGAGAGGCCCTCGACGGAAGGGTTGTCGTGATGGTGTGGGGGGCGCGGAGAGAAAAACAAGGAGCAGAAATGGGGCGATATAAAAAAGAGTGATGACGGTGGACGTGCGGAGATCAGCGCCGACAGGTGCGCCGGGCCCAGCTGACCTGCTGCTCGCCGTACAAACGACTGGCGCGCAGTGGACTGGCGGCGACCCCCGGGGAGAGCGGCGCCCGGCCGGCGGCTGTCTGCGGGACTCGGGGCCCGCCTGTCCCAAAAGAATCGCGCGTGCCCGCTCCGTATCACGTCCCCGCAATCTCGGCCCTCGTTTACGCGGCAGGGTAGAAAAATTACCACGACAGGCAAACGCGGCCTGCCTGGGGGTGGGGACCGGGGCGCGGGCGCCCGCGGACCGGGCACAACAACAACCAACGGCGGGCTAATTTCATTTTTTTTCCTATCGAAATGCCCAAATAAAAATGATTAGGAAGCCGCGCGGAGGCATTCTATCAGCGTTATCTGGGACTGATTATCGTGTAGCCTGGCAGAGATTGATCTTAATGCGGTCACGCACAGGAGAGGGGGGGGGGGGGTATAGTCCGGAGTGATTCGGCTCCATCAGGGCGATGAAGTCCGCTGCGGATGCCTGCCTGCGTGCCGCGCTGCATTAAACTCCGCTCCTGTAAATAAACCGACCGGTTTTCTTTCTCTTGAATAAAGAAAACTACAACATGCGTCAAAAAATCATTTGCCCACAGATGAAAATATTCATTTCAGCCGTGTCTGGTACTTTCTCCGTCCCTGGTCACAACAAACGCGTAGCGTGCAACAGTATAAGTGGTGTTGATGTGAGGTGGGTAGAGAGTCGGTCCTGAGCTGCGAGCTGAGGGAGGGGGTGAGCCTCGGGTCAGCCGCATTCCTTATTCCGTGTGAGAGTGAGCAGCCAGCTATACTGGGGCTGGACAAGGGTCTCTCCTCTCTGTCCGCCCGCCTGTCCTCTGCCCGCCCGTCTCTCTCTCTCTCTCTCTCTCTCTCTCTCTCTCTCTCTCTCT